TAGAAGTTTTATTTAGATCGTAATTATTCGAGGAAATGTCTGCTGGAAAATATCAAGATGGAAATCAAATGATATTGTATCACGATCGGTTACTTTAAGAGAATATACTGAGCGAGAAAATAACCTAACTCAATTTGAATACTTTGCTTTTCGATATTGTGCCTAGAAATCAAATGTGATAAACCTAAGAGCAAGAAATATTTACGAAGTGATCAGCCATCATGCAATAGAACTGTAACGTTAAGCGGTGTTTGTTTTTCAAATGCAGATACGAATAAAAAAAAGTATTAATGGTAAATCACACGTGTGTGTACGATTCACTACCCAAGGATTTACTCTGCGTCGATGGTTTTGAAGGTGAGAATTGAATAGATGGGTAATATGTTTTCCATGCGCTTCTTTGCAACAAAATAAATAAGAAAACGTTCTGCGCAACGAAACGAATATTCATGGACGATGGGGATTTTTAAATTTTGTCAAGATTTACAGCACAAGGAACAAGCATTCGCGTAGTCTGCCAGTTTTTCGAGATGATATTGGTGTTTCAGCTCCAGAGCACCGTAATCATAGAGTTCGAGCAGATGAATGTTCAATAAAACTATTGGAACGTTTTAATGAAGATCCTCTTGATATTCCCTCGTTCTTGAAAGCTGCCGAAATTAGACGGTAGCAGAGAGGACTGCAATATGAAACTTCCATTCATGTTTGCTTTTTGGTTATTTATTGTTTTCTTTTGCTTGCTAATATATCTATTGCTTTCTCTTTCGTCGGTATAATCAGCCGACAGCAAGTCCTCGTGTGAAAAATCAATTAAAATGAAAACTCAATCAATGCGCAGTAAATCGTGTTGACTCATTTGTGTATTAATTTTATTTTCGTGTCAGTTTTTAACTATTGAATATTTTATCTCGACAGATAAGCATAATGAGCTGCATTGATTTTTTTCTTCATTTACCATTTTAGATCCATCAGAGCGAAACGAAATATTTATATTTGGAATTTAAACGATACCTTGAAACGTTAGTCATTCTTATTCGTATTACACCAGTTTATCTTTGATAGATGCACTCTTTTATAGAAAATATAATTAACTAAGATGTAATCAGTGTGTTATTTTTCTGTTGAAATCATTCGATAAGCGCTGTGACTTGTAGAAAAAAATTTTCAAGGTTTCAATCGAACTTTAAAGAAACTTTGTAGATATTATTCATTGCTTAGATATGATATCTTAACGAAGATTTCCAGCTTATCTCGATGAGAATATGGAAATTTAAAGGGAATATTTATCTAGGACTGCCTTCGTATAATTACCTACCAGAAAAATATAGAATGTGACTATTTGATAGAAAATATCATCGAAAATTTGACGAAATTCTGTTAACGATTATCTAAGGAACCAATATACAAAAAAACATCAGAAATAATAACGCCACAAAATTTCTCTATTGAAATAGGAACAACATCTGCGTACGATTTATGGGTGAGCTATTTCACACTTTAATGCTCCCATTGTCAAAACCAAAACACAATTGAATAACGATGTAGAGTAAATATTTTCATTTGAAATTATCTGCTCTTTCATGGCGATGATAGAAATCTATATCAATGGCAGAAAATATTGAAAATATGTGAAAATTCTAGAAATTGATCCTGCTACATTTTTGCAATGGGCTTTTTGTTTGGTGAGCATGTTCAGCATGGCGCAACGAACGAACAGGTGTAATAAAGTACCTTGCATAGTCTATGATGAGAAAGAAGCATTGCTTATTTTTCTTTAAAACTTCTCGGGTATAACAGAAGGACTTTATTCCGATCTAGGTGACAGTTTTGATTTAGCTATTATATTTGTTGTGTGATTGAAAATCATAGAGTTGACAGCCAACCAGAATAATGATTATGGTGGAACTCTAAATTTTGTTGAAAAGCAAATTATGTGGAATACTACGGATTTCTACCGAATGCTCCTGATTTTTTGTGGGAATTTTCTTGAAACAGCAACAATAATAGTTCGTAAAGATAATGACTTTTTCAAAAGAAACTTTATCGCAGATTGTCTTAGGCAAAACTTCCACCAAATCACTTTATGATTATCAAGAAACTTAATGATCACATTCCTTTTGGTTGACATATAGTCTAAAAATAAATAATCGAAAAAGTACAATCAATTCATTCGAAAGTGAGAGAGAGCGAAACCTAAAACTCCATCAAAAAGTAAATGCTCATAGTCTATGTGAGAAAATTTTCTGAATATATCCACGGATGACATCATTTTTTTATGCTGCTCCGATCGAACACATTTAACACTTAGTGCAACAAACAGGTTTCACGAAAAATTCGTTATTTGTATAAATGAAACTCTTGCTTAGTTTCGAATGGTAAAAGAAACGTTTTTGATTGGTTTCATAGAGCCGTCTCAAAGAAGAAAAAAAAAGGCATCATAAAGCTCCTCGATTGGTTTAAAATATTTCTCAGACAAATAACAGCTTTTTTTTCACCCTGGCATTTACTGTCAAATTTTCCTTCGTACCTATTAGTGAAAAATTGTTGCTATTTTCATACTGACTGCGATGTACTTGTTGATAAAAAATATTTTATAGAACAATGAGCAAGGACAGCAGTGTACCCAGCTGTGTATCTACGATTCCTCCTATATTCATAGTTTCGATACAAATAAAATAATGTATCCAGCTTAATAGAGGCCCACCACCTTATGCCGCACATTGTATCTAACAATAAACTTTTTCGAGCGTCACCTGTGAAAACCATAAAATAAGACAAAATGAATGCTTTTATCAAGTTGTTTGCTGACAAAGATCTTTGCTGTATGCAAACTGATATTTTTTCTTCATCGTATGATTTGTTTATAATCCTAATGCGCAAGCGTTAGAATTTCCCGTACGATAACAAAAAGAAATGTCTTGGTCGTCAGCGTTTTTAGAAGTACTCGTCAGCCTTGTTCTGTCATCAATAATCATAAATACTGCATTGAGTAAACAGAGAATATTTTCCAAACTGTTTTTGCTTATTTTGCTAACTAAGGTTCCCCGCCCCCGCTTAAAAAAGTCGACTTTTTCGAAAAGATTTTAAGTTTGAGTTCTTATCATGGGTAGATGCCTCAAAGTCTTCTCTTTCAGAATGTATGTAGAATTTTAAAAAAAAGATTCGATTTTAAGGAATTTATCGACAAAAATACTAAGCCGTACTGTCTTGTTTTGCGAGAAAAGACCAGTGGTAGTAAGGTCATTTTTTGACCGAACTGTTTTCTGAAACAATAGTTACATGATTGAAATCAGTATAAAAATTTGAACAAAGCAATGCATTTTTTTTGTAAAATCATTTTGCCTAGGTCACCCTCCCGAAAACCAATTTTGTCTTTCTTTTTTTTCGGGATTTGTGTTAGACATAGCTTATTCAGTACGCTGATCACGAATATGAGGTTTGTTTTCCATAGAAATGTTCTCTGAATAAAAAAAAGTGACAGTTCCGGACCCGACGACGATTTTGTTTTACCTTGCTTCACAGATCGCAGTCTTGAAATTAAAGAAATTAGTTTAGGAAAGAAGAAATACAATGAATATGTGCAGAAATGATAGTTCTATCGATTGCATTCGCTTGAAAGGGTTACAAGCAAAGTTAGCTAAGTTTATTAGGTTAAAAACTCTCATTTCATATTCATAAGTATAGGCGCGTCAGTTGAACAAATAGAGCTAATAGCAAAGATCGTTCATAGGTGAAGCGAGTTGATATCATTCATGACATCATTGAAAAGGTTTAGTGTAAAAATATAACATACAGATCTTTTTTTGAGTTTAAGCAAAAAAAAATGATTCTTAAACTTGTCTGTCGTTTTTTTCAAAACAAGATTTTTTTGTCAGAAAAAATGAATCTAGTTTCAAGCGATTTAAGACATTAAGATCATTTTTTTTATTTTGAAGCTTCAAGTGTAAGTAAAATCTTGTCCAATCAGATTTTTTTATATTTGATTTCTGAACTTAGACAAGTCGGATCCTATACCAACAGGTAGCCATTTTTAGCCAAATTTTGATCCCTATTCCAGTAAAATACCAACTGAAGCAAATTTTAAAATTCCATTCTGACAAAAGTTGCGTATTGATGCTGGGTTTAATTTAAAACAAGCGCGGCTTGTATAGCTCTCGTACTGGCAGAGTCTTAGTGATTCTCCTAGTGGCCATAATTCGTATGTAAGTAAGCCATATTTTCGATTCAGTTCAATATATCGAGTTGAAATTTTTATCACGACTGTTTCTAATGCAGACCAGTCATCCCTAAAAAGTTCAGCTCAATCGGACCTTTCCAAGTGACAGTTCAGATCTGAGGGGGCGGGGGCATAACATGATTAATTTTTCCATATATATAAATTATTTGTACATATGGTGGTGGCTATGAAAAGATATCCATTTACTTTTAAATCTATATTATACTGTCACCAAAAGGTTAACAAAAGATTGTTTTCCTCTTTAAATTATGTTTTTCATAAATACATATGCACACGGACATACATAAAAACGGTTAGTCTACAACGTTGAGCATTATGAAAGAGCTCGAATGAATCAGAGCAATAGAATCGTCGGTATAAATTCATGATGAATCTTCTACCATATCTAGAAAGAAAAAGATCTTATAGATGACAATAAATAAGAATTATTATTAGATTTCAATTAGAAAAAAATCATTCAAACATACTCGAATTAGAACTTTGTTTCGCACTGCAAACAATAGATTGCCGACTGACAAACTGCCCTTGGCTTTATGTCATCATCAAATGATACACAGCCGATATAGCGGCTCGTATAACAAACTATTTTTACACTTTGTTTACATCACGTGGCAACTCACGTGCTAACTAATTACCGCATAAGCAAGAAGAAAACGAGGTTGGCACATGCAATAACTAAAGCTAATCTTTTCTATAAGCATCGTGTCGCTTCATCCATTAGAGTTCTAAGAAAAATTTTCCTAGACGTACTTTTTGGAATAGTTCAACCAACTCGTTTCTCTTGTAATTCGTTTAACAGTGGCAAGAATGCGAAGATCTAATATTTAAATTCATCGAATATTTAGTTAAAATATTTTTCTTGTTTTTCAAATTTCAAAAACCTGTAAAAGATTGCGAAATACTGTTTTTGCTTCTAATTGTGTACGAGTAGTTAACATTTGCGTATACAACGAATATAAATAACAACATTGAATCTGATGCACGGTTTCTTGATCATTGAGACTCTTATCTAAATAAAAAAAACCGTGTTTCTTCGTTTTGGTTTAATAAAAAAAGAAATAATTTACCTTTCACACAAATAACAATAGGAAATATTAAAGCGTATTCTTCTTGTGTTAAGTTTAGTTCATTGAATTTTCTTGAAAATTCAAACATCGTTTCAACCATTTCTTCGCCCATTATATGATTCATCCATTGACGAGTATATTGAAGGCCATTAGGCAACATAATGTAAGATTCATTGTTGCATATTAATGGTGCATGTTTAATCTAAATATTTTCGTCATGAACATATTTGCAAGAAATGAAAATAAGCGAAATTTACCAGCCAAAAGTCAAACAAACGATTGTTCATTATTTTGTTCAGGTCGTCTAGATTGATTTCATTAATAGCTGGCATCTAAATTAAAAACAAAACAGTATTAATTATTTGAATGGCTAGAAACATGCGTAAATAATATGGATATTATAGTTTCTATATGTCAAATGTTCTTTCGTGCATAATCGACTAATAATAGTACCTATCAGTTTTACAAGAGAAATTATCTTCTTAAAATAGAAGAACTTTCTTTCTGTGGTACTTGTAATCAATAGTTATGTATAAATCACAGAACAGCTAGCTCTTGCAAAATGTCAAGTCTGATGTTTTACATGTAACTGATTTTGAAAGTTAATATAGAATATAAAAAGCAATCCGAGCTTACCTCGCGAGCAAATGTAATGAGATTTTTCACATGGAATGGAATAGCATCTAGAAATAAAGACCTGCTTATAAAGGCGAATTGAAATTTATTCTTAGAAATTACCTGTCAATCCAGCCCATATATCTTGAACAGATGAATAGTCACCAGGAAATTCTTTAATCTAAGAAATAAAATCAACCAACCTAATTAAATTTTTATTCGAACAAAACAAAATTGATTTACTTGCTGGTTAATCATACTAGACATTCGTTCCATTAACTGTCTTGTACAACCGTTATATGTATTACACAAATTAAACGTTTTCGTTCGTAGATATCGAATAAATGATAATTCTTCATGATCCGATACGGTATTGGATCTCGGGTGCATTATTTTAATTACGAGTTTTTTAATATGTTCAAGGGCGTTTTTCGAAAACATTTCGTCACAATTTTCTGTACAATTATTCAATAGTGGACTATTTAATATGGAAACGTTTTCTTTAAGATCATTTTTTGTTTCATCTAGAGTAAAATCTTCGGATAACATATAGCCATTGCATGATGGTAATATTGTGGATGGAGTATCCATGGATATGGATTCAAAGTCGTCGGAAAAAAAATGTTCATCAATTAATTGTAAATTGACATCGGTTGATATTAAATTAGTTGAATTTGAATTCATGGATGATAGACATGGTGGCGATGACGATGCTACTGATGAACTTGGATCGTCATTTTCTATACTTGACGATGATAAATGATGTTCAGCTAACGCTTTTTCTTTGACTAGTTTGGGAATACGACCCATTCGAACGCCTGATTAAAATGAAATAATTAGTAGAAGGAAAAAAATTCGAAAAACTTTGAATTTCTTTTACCGTCGACAGACATTCCTTCTTTGAGACACTTTTGAAAACGACATGATTTACAACGATTTCGATTATCAGTATTAATAACACAGCCATCACCAAAATAGCATCGATACTTCTCTTTTCGTAATATGCTTCGTTTGAAAAAACCCTAAAGAAAATATTTTTCTTTTCGTCAGAATTATGTTTTTCGATTGAAAATTTCTCGTATAGCTATTATTCAAGAATACTTGAAGAATCTTTTCAAACAAAAGAAAAACAATAATGAATTATTTTTCATCAAATAAGCACAATAAAAATTTATTTACCACCAATTAATTAAACCTCAGAAGAAACCCTCTCATCGCTCCTGTAGTTGGGTCTATAAAATTCGCATTACCTTAATGAATTCTCTTGATTACTTCTTTCAGAGTACTCATCAAGGTCACAATGCCCCGTGCCACAGTAGAAAATCTTTTACTCAATAATAGCCTACGCGAGAACCATGCAATTAACTCCTGCCATATCCTATGAATATCTAATTTCAAACAACACAAGCCAAGAAAGCACTTCACTTTAGACTTACTTTACAACCTTCGCATGTCGGTACTCCATAGTGCGCACCGGTAGCTTTGTCCATACAAACTCGACTAGAATGTACACAAGAAAAAACATTTCTTAAGCATTAAAAGAACATAAATTATCAACAATTCTTACCAATGTCCAAAGGGAAAAGGTCTTTTATCAGATGATGAATTCGTTGAATTTCGTCTTGTACTTGGTGTACTACTAAGTTGTTCGGTTTGTTCGTCACTTATCATTTCCATAACGGGGGATTTTATGAGAGCTCGAACGCGACGAGACTTTCGCTTTTGTACATAACGATCATCATCAAACATTGATTGATTTTCACACGCAGCTGCTCTACTATGATCATTATTAGTAATTACTTCAAAATACAAAAAAAAGTATTTTCGTAATTTTCACGCTATTTTATTTATTTACCTTCATTCATTGATCTGTTCATCATGCTTTTTTCAAATTTTTATTTGATTGATACTTTTATTTTCAATAAATCTTCATTAATAACCAAACACACAATCTAGCGTAGATGAATTTAAAGAAATATATAAATGTAGAAAATTTGGATACAACGATGCAGAACAGAAAAAGGTAAGGAATCCACACATTTATACGTTTCTCTGTGTAGGCCCCTATGTATTTATGTATGTGTTTGGCCATAAAGAAAATTTCGTGCATGTGCAAGCAGTGAAGCATCAAATCTACTCTAGTAATAACGCATTTTTGGCATGTTCTTTCACTTGCTCGCATTCGCGAGAATATTCAGTAGGAATTATTTTAAAACACTCACTTGCGTATTAAAGATTTTTCTTTTTCAGCGTTTTGTTTGAATACAATATTTGGTATATCGTGTAGAAAAATTAACAGGATTTTTCAGCAAACGGTGATAGAGTCGAAAGAGAAAGCAACGGCATATTGTGATAGTAGAGCAGTTTTTTTATGTGTTGATGTTGCTATCGATGAAAGAAAAGAAAGAGAGCGAGAGAGAGAGAGTGAGAGAAAAAAAACAGCTATGACGTCCTTTGAGAGCATTTATAATAGTAGCAAAGTACAGAACGAAGAAAGCTGGTTGAGTGTGCGAACTACGTCATTCGTCAGCAAAGACGAGAGTAAATGAATGGAGGAAAAAAGCGAAGAAGCAAAATACTAACAGAAGGAAAAGAAAAAAAGATGTAGACCATTTTACATTGCCGCACGCATAAAAAACGCATGATCCTGGAGGGGAGTGGCTTGGTTGTTTAAGATAGCAAACTTTTGTCCTCAGTGAAAAGTGTCTACATTGAGTTTGCACTTTTAATGCTTCTTTTTCATAGAAAGATAATTCAGAAAAAAGCAAACATCGAATACATCTAACTTGTATACACGTTAAAGAACGATAAAAATGATGTTTTGTGGCAGGCATTTGCATGAAAAAAAATCGTTTTATTTATAATTACAATTGTGGAAAATGATATGCAAGAAATTGTCCAACTTTATTTCCGTCTTTATCGTAATGACATGCTCTAAAGCATCGTTCACACAGCAAACATGGATCATCAGGTATCAAAGGTGAATCTCGAATGAGCCATTTGGCATAGAATACATTGCACAGAAAACAATAGGAGAATCGGCCATGATATTTCATTCGACACAATGGATAGAGACTAAAAATAAATGAGGCAACACTTTTCGTTAGAAAAACAAATCAATAAAATTTTACTTTGCATCATGGCATTGGTCCTGTTCAAGTAATTTCAACTCACTGAATACAACGACATGTTCGCAATTTGTTTGATGTAAATAAACGTATGGCTTTCCAAGTTGCAGAAGTTTAAGATCATTTAAAGTCGTCGTTTCCATTGTATTGCCTTGAGTATAAGTTGTATTTGTTTGCTCAATTATTTTCTCACTTAAACGCATGTCGGTTCGACGCAAATCATCATATATCACCGATTCAATTATAAAACAAGCCGCCGTATTTTCATCGCCAGCACGTTGCCCGTGAGTTTTTATCTGATCTGGATTTTCTGAATATTCACCGAGAATTTGTTCGTCACTGACACATTCAATCGCATCGCGTATTTGTGCTAATGTTAATGTTGATAAACAAATAAGTTCGTTCATTAACTGATGACGATAACGATCACGGGATTCAATAGGAAAAAATATTTGTAAATTTAACACAAGCCTTTCGTCATCTATATTCGACGGTGCTTGATTTGATTCGCGGATATTTTTTAAAAACGCTGTATCATGTGATGCATGCGGACGTGATTGACTAAATTCTTTATATAAATATTCAATGCACGCCGGATATGATTTAAGATTATTTAAAATAATCGGATCAAGTTTTTTCTTTTTTCGTCTTATACGCCACGTACTCGATGTTGTGTCTTCATCGTCGTTGTCGTCTTCGTCGTCTTGTTCTTGTTCTTCTTCAACTTCATTTTCTACTCGAGTGGCTTCGTTCGTTGGTTCATGCTGGCGATAATCGCCCAATGACTTTGCTATATTAATCACGGGATCAAGACTATTATCGTCAATAGGATGTGAAGCAACAAACGATGCTAAACGTCCTTTCAAACTTATTGCATCATCGAGAAATTTCTCTAGATCAACTGGTGAAGATATAAATTCACGAAGACGGTCATTATCATTTGACATTATCTACAATAGATATTAAATATGTATGCACAATACATGTTCCATAAATAGCTATTCGACTTCGTTATAAAATATCAACACACGCCATCGTCGTTTGTTGTGGATCATAGGGTTAGACAGTATAGCGAATAAATCGTCACAATTACATTCCATTACAATTATTTTCTTTTCTAAGAAATAATTATTCACAGATGATTGCATAAGAATAAGAAACTCAAATCTTCAAACTGTAACTCGATTAGCTAACTCATGTTTTATTACGTTGTTTGTTTAATCTAGCGAAATAATATTGGTTTCGCATTAGTTATAAGTACATGTCTAACCCAATTTTTATCTAGTTTTTTGATCTATATAAAGTAATTTTTTTTGCGCGTCGATTTGTTTTTTTTTTGTTGTTCTCAGTACATTTGAAAAGTCCTTTTAGCACTAAAGTTTCTATTATAAATAGAAAAAAAAACGTTTTTTTTTATCTCGCATATCCCAAATGTTAATTGAGTGCTAAGCTATTCAGACATTTTTTCAGCCACGGTTTTAAAATTTAAGCCATTAAAACTATTCTACAAATAGTTGTCGCGCCTAACAGTAAATAAAACGAGAGAGAATTATTCGACGTAACCAATGAATTTCTATCGCTGAATTATTACCATTCTTTATTAGCTACTCAAGGTTACTCGATATTTTTCTGTAGTAAATTTGTACTCGACGCATTATTGAGTGTAGGCTTAGTTTTTAATTAGACAAAATCTGTTTCTCAAAAAAAAGGAATCTATAGTTTTAATCAAAAAAAGTGGACTATTGCTTGCCTGACGACGAATGCATCGTGCTCATAGGTGCACTGGCAATTTGTCCTCGTTGCATTATTTCACCCAACACATATAAATCTCATCAGGATTCCGTCATTTCCTTGGGCACATGCTAATACGTTTTGTTTTAGAGTAAAAAGGTAATCAGAATGCATTCTTCAGATTCTCGCTACTGTCGTCTTTAGTAATCACATCGCATAGTTATTATCTTATTTAACAATGAAATGCACTTTACTATTCGTAAATACGTCTAGGAAAATAAACTATGTTTTTTAATTCATTCCGCATATGCTTAATCATGAATATGAAGCATGAATTATCAGTAGACCACAGTCTTTTATGCTTACTGAAAAACATTTTAAGAGTCTTATTTTCTTGAAGGACATCAATGAGTAGCTTTATGATTATTTTAATTAATAAAATAAGAAATAAAAACTAAAAAAGCCACGTATAAACAGTCCAAAGAAAATCTTCATACTAATACCGCAATTATTTTGATCAAGGAACTACTCGTCTTCCAAACAAAAAAAGTAATCAAACTACCAAAAAATCATGCAAGTACCTAGAGGAAGTATGCTATTGAAACTTTCTATTCAAAATATTTTCGTTGGTAAAAATTTATTATTTTAATCAACGATAATATTTACCTTAGATTTAATCGAAATTTCTAAAAGAAATAAAACTATTTCCATTTTTCATGTTTTTAATCGTATTCTATCAAAACATTTCTTTGTCCACAAATATGATATTTTTCAAATATATATATATATATATATATATATATATATGTATGTATATATAATGTGTAACTTTTTCAAAAAAAGAATAAACAACAGAAAAACCAAAGGTACACAATATAAAGAAGAACACATCGATACATAAGAGTAGGGGCTGATTTAGGTTTTGTTTTTAATGGAAAGAACAAAAAAAAGAAAAGAAAAAGACAGCAAGAGACACCAAACCAGAGGAAAGAGATCCGATCATCATCATCACTAAGCAGCATCATTGAATTGGCCAGAAAACTACTGATGTCAACATATTTCTTATTATCTGACACACAGAAATAGAAAAACAATAACATACAATATCGAACAAATTCGCGTTAAGAATGAACAATTTTAACACATATATTGTGCGCGCAAATACAAATTGCTGCTTGAGAAAACATTTAAAAGGAAAACAAAAACAAACAAAAAAATTATAACAGTTTATCATCTTCTCGTTCTCTAACGTGTTGTTGACACCGGAGAAGTCTTAAATAGAAAAATAATTTAGTTTTCGACAAAAATCTTTTTAGTAAAATCCCTCGAAGAACAAAATATACATCGACTATTGAAAGTCATAAGGAGATTATCAATCAACTTAAAAATTCCTTATTTTCATAGCGATAAAAGTTACGTTTTACTTGTGTAACGTATAACGAAACGTCATTCTAGAGCGATCATGCGCATCGATGCCGTTTTGTTTCACCAACGACATTATTGTTATTAATATAAATAACTTTCAAAGTTCCCTAGTGACACAAATGGTTAAATTAATTAGCTGATTGGTCAGGGAGAGAATTTTGACAGCTAACCGAATAAGAGAAGATTGACTACTTTTTTCTTTCAATTGACATATAGACTCGAATCTATTCTGGATAAATTTCCTTTGAAAAACTTTTGTTTTCTTCGTAGGATCCATAGTTCAGTAAAAAGCATGTAATACTAATAATTGCAGTGCTTCTGCTAGAAATAATTACGTTTAGACAACTTTTTAGAAAATTCAGCTAGTTATTAAATCAAAGAATAATGCTGAATTTTTGGAGTGACAGTATCTTCAAATATTTCAATCAATGGACAGTCACTTGTAACTTATTAGTTTGGCAATAATAATTCGATGAAAAGGCAATTCGACGGAGTTTTTCATAAGTCTGCTCTCTGATTTAGTAATTCAGTGTGAAAATCTCTCCGTAAATTTCAGCACTTGTTTTGCATAATCAATTCCATATACTAACCTTCGTCTTAGAATATTTTGTTTTATTTCAAGTACGCGAAAGTTCGATTTTAATGCTTTAAGTTCGATGAATCCTGTTGACATTTTAGCACTGTAAGCATAATATTCATCAAAAAGTTTTAAACACTAGATTTAGAAGAAAATAATTTAGAAGAAACGATTTCAAATTTTTCCAAACCTGTTTTTCTAGTTGATTTGACGGCCAATCAGTTAAATGTTGAATTAAACCAACACGATAATATTTGTGAAATTCTTGATCTCGTTCAGTTTTTGAAATTGTTGGAGTAGCTGGTTCGATTTCTGTACTGAAAAATAAACCGCGAGATTTAGAATTAAAAAAAAATAAAGAACGTTTATTATTTACGTTTTTTCTGTTGTTGCTGTTCGAGTTGAGGAAGGTTTTGCTTCATTTCCTAAATCGAGATAATGCGCTTATTTTTTATTAACTAGATCTTGTTTATCCTACCATTTAAAGAGATTGGTTCTTTTTCACGAGGTTTATTGGACATATCAGACACTGGAGTAGATACTGAAATAGCTTTAAAAACTAAGCAAACATAGAAAGTTATTCATTTATAGAAATGTTTTCTATCAACAGTAACGAAGTTTGAATGTCAATCGGAGAGGCAAGTTGATAAAATGTAAAATTATTCAATATTTTTTCTCACACTTAGCTTTTACGAAAATCTTTTCTGTTTACCGGGTTCAGATAATGACGAATGTAGAACACCACCATTATTTTCATGTCCATTACCATTCCGTTCAGAAATGTTCATAGCTGATGATTCTTTACTACTCGTCGATGAAAATGACATTCGTGAATTATCATCACCTAAAAATGAACAATAAGGAATTGTTATTTTCTAATTGAATTTTACTTGGACTAGGTTGACGAAGATTGGAAGTCGTATAAAATGATTCATTAGGTTTTAATGATTCGTGACTAAAATGATTTAATGAATGAGAATGAATATCACCATTTTGTTCATATTTAATGGACGAATTAGGAATAGGGATATCTTTTTGTTGATAACGAGAATTTTCTGAGGATTCATCCATCTTATATCGAGAACGAACTGAAGGTGAACTATTCGTATTGGTTGATTCTATTGAAAACAAAAATGATTACAAAATAACTAATAAGAAAGACCAAGCGAAAAACCTTTTTTAGTTCGATCAGTGGAAAAAGATGTGGAGGACGATCGAGCAGTTGAAGATGATGTTCTAAATAAAGATTAAAAACAAAGATGTTTTTATTCTAAGCAGAAATTTTGTAGATTATCTTACTCGTCTGTTGGCCATCCTTTAGGTTTTTCCCATTGAGAAATTTCTGTCTTACAATTGTAGAAATAGGTTTTTCCTTAAAAATAGATTTTAAACTGAATCATAGTTAAATAGCTTAATTAATATTATACCTGTTGAACTTTTAAATTCAGACCAATCACCAAATACGCGAAGCGGTTTTTTTGCCTAGAAAATGAAATTTCAATAATTGGAAGACGACGAAAAGTCAAAAACGTACATCTTTGAGTGTTTTCTTATCCTTGTCGCCATTTTGACGTTGCTGCTGAGAAAACGACGACGACGATGGCACAGTTCGATTACTTGAAGAAGCTAAATAAACAAACGATTTTTCGTTTTCAATCGATAAAATTCTTTAAAAATATTACATTGTGTTCGAATGTATTTTCGATGATTGGGTGAATCATCATTAAATCCATGGCTTTGCAAATTCCACTCTCGTTTTGTTGACTACAATCAAATTAGATAAATAGTTTTCTTAGTATGATACAGTGATCAGTATCTTATAGAACAGGTGACCGGAAACCATTTCATTTCTGATACAATCAAAAAGTACTTTGTAAATAGGAGTCGAAATATGGAGTTCCTCAGACATCATAGTACCCGACTGTTTATATATGCAAAAATGAGAAGATCAAGACCTGTTAATAGAATCGGATAAAAACTCTGCCTTGAAAAAGAAACTTATCAAATATCTAAAAGGTTCAATATGAATTTTTACAACGACTACTGTAACTCGTTCTTTCAAGCGGAAATTTAAGACAGCAGATTTTCATGAGAAGAGAAAATTTTATTCAATTCGCCCTGGCAGATCTCCAAAATTGATTTATGATTGCTCTACATCTTCAGATATCCGAAAATGTTAGATTTAAAATATTTCTCTAACTAGAAGAAAAAATTTATTGCATTAATCCTAACGTTTTTCCTACAAAAATGACATGTTTGACTCTTTTCATTATTCACTGTCAATGCTATTCGTCATAATAAAAGCTTCATTCGATTATAAAAATAACTGACTAACAACAAACAGAGAGTCAATTTTAACAAACTTAATTTAACGCTTACAGACATAAAATAATGATTTCCTTTTAACATTTCAACGAGAAACTGTGCCGTAAGCTTTTTTTTCATGACGTCGTTCAAAGACGTATCCTAAAAACAAGTTCATATTCACTATATACCAAACCTTCAGCATCTATGAATATACTTGGAGAATTACAAAACACATGAAAAATACCTACCGAATATCCGCCACCGTCTTTTCGGGTTTCATACAGACTATGAGAAAGTAAAAAAAATGATATACTAAATTTTTGTCGAAAATCTACCCATCCGTTGTTCTGTGTTTGCTACCATGCATCGCCAATGCTCAACAGCAAGTGCATTTGGATCGTGGCAAAATTAGGATGGCACACGAAACAAATAAGCACGCACGAATTTGACAACTGAAATAAAATAATCAACAGATTAAATATGAAAGCATGTAAATTTTAGTTTTTACTCAACGACAAATCAATATGAATAAATACTGAACTAAATAATAAAATTAGAATAATAATTATTTATAATGAATAGAAAAGGGTTTTTATTTATTTACCAAAACAAGACTTTATAGGATAATAAACGATTTCTTTCTTATCATATTATTTCTTTGGATACAATAAAACAAAATCTAAAATATGTTAATAAAATTCATATCAAAAATTGAAAATAATATATAAAAATAAACATAATGATGAAAGACGGAGGTTCAACCCGAAATTTATCATGTGGTTCGACATTGACAAAAGGAAACCTATCTGCTTTCATTATTACCACACATAAAAGGGAAAAAACAATTTTTCAACGCATCTATGCACTTTGAATACTTCTAAAGGATATTACTTTGGCAACAAGAACAGAAGAAAGATGGCGTTTGCCTGCGCAAAATTGCATTTTCCACCATTGGCATATTATGGATGATTTATACAAGTGATTAAAGTCGCTAGTTATCTCAAGTCGAAAGGTACAGAAGTGAACTTTTAAACGATATCCATAAGCGTAGGTGCTTAGACTATCGAATGGACTTTTTGGTGATTTTGTGATGTCATAAAGAGAATCCCTCTAGGAAGTTTCGTTTGGTCTTATCGACCTAATATATTATAACACCTGTTGGAGACACGATATAAATCAATTTTTAGTTACTGTTCATCCTACTAATACTTGTTACATAAAAACACAAGAGTTTTTTTTTGGTCTCCCAGCGAACAATTGACCTCCTTCCAATCTGTGAAGCGCTTTTCTAAGTGTCTTTATCAATGCACTTGCAGAAAAGAAACCGGCAAGGCCTGAATATTCAGCATGTGCATTATTTTGCTTCAATTAGTTGTTTGTGTGATGCAAAAAAAGTGAATAAATCGAAATAGTTCGAAGAAACGTGTCTTTTTCAAGGAGCATTGTGAATTTCTAAAACAAAGAAACATTTGTTGCTTCCTTTCAACCATATAGCATATCCAGAATGATCATTTTTGTAATTAAGTTTCTCTCGCTGTCAAAGAATACCCTTCGTTTTTCAAGGATAAGCACCTCGTACTGTTTTTTTTTGCACTGTTAATGCACTAGAAAATGTTGCACCTTTACAGTACATAAAACGATTAAAAAGAGTCACCAGCAATTCATCTGATAGAATTTGAAGTATTTTTTTATTGATGATAACTTCTATTCGGTTTATCTCGATCTTATTCTCTGTCGTACAAATAAACAGATCACAAGTATCAAACACACTTCAAAAACAGTAAGAATACATGGTTCAGATAAAGTGAAACAATCACGCGAATTTGTTTGTAATGACAATATTCTAGATTGTTCAACTTTTATTTTTATGTGTTAATCTTTGAACAATATTCAATTGATCCAGATTGTTTCGAAGTCTATATCGTACAGACCAACATAGTTATAATCAGACATTGGTAACTATTTTCAATTGTTATCGTAGGTACCGTATTTAAGTAGTGACGAATACTATCGAACCCTAATGAAGAGACTTTTCCCATAGCGTTTTGTCAAGGATTTTTGAGTGCCGTTTGATCGTCATATCAACTGAGATGTAATCTGGATTATTCAGAGGTTATATTCGCAATTTCTCTTATTCAAAATCATGACGTCACTCAATCATCTTTATGTATAGAATCCTATTATAAAATTTTGATCAAATTCAATAACAACAGAAAGTCGAATAAAATCGTTGTTAGACTAGTTCTCAATGATATTTTTGAAGCACCAAATTAATAATTTTCCAATCTTAATTTCATGCGATTTTCACTTCGAACAAGACAAGATATCAGATGATAATTGAGTTCTACAGGACTGATATCGAACGAGTCCATGAAAAGACCTTACATCATCATTTAGATAGACTCTTGACAGATCAAAGCAATTTCATCAAAAGAATACTGTCATAAATGACTCGTTCATAGGCGCCATACTGCTTTTTATCTAAATCATACAAGTCTTTTACGACTCGACTAAATCACTTCAGCCAAAAACATATGATTACAAAACAGATTCGCTTGAATATTGTTTTTCCTTGATTATGACATCTAGTATGACGAATATATGTATATATATATTTCACTGTATTATTTACAATTCGAAGCCGTTAAATGCTCCACTTTTAGGCTGTTATCGACTGTCAAGGTCACGATAAAAGACGATTATCATAATGCACCACATAAATATCAATCTACAATCATTGACAGCAGAGAATTGTATGAAAAGAAAAAACAGCCCACTATACTATTACTGATACTTTCAATAACTGTAATCGTCATCCTACAGAGAGAGAGAGAGAGCGCGAGAGAGAACGCGGTTTACATAGAACGTAAACGCAGTGCTGCAAGTCAAAGCAATACGGTCATAAGAACATTTTCTAATAGTTCTGTTACCATTTATTATAAAGAATATTGTAAACAATTAGAAATTCAATTGTCAGACCTTTTTACGGTCTGTTATCAATCGCTTGCAATACGATAAAATACGATTATCATATTGTATTCGCCAAAAAGTCAATTTATGGTATTTACGAATGAAAACTGCATAGGCAACGACAATATATAGATTACAGTTTTCGGCCGTCTACGGTCACTTACGACGATGATTGTAATCATTGCGGTTGGTCGATTTTCATGTCTTATCTTATCATAAACGACCGTATTCCAAGGAATACTGTCAAAAAACCATGGACAGCTGTAATCATCATCTTCTCAGTTCTTACATCTGTCACAGCTGAGCGCAAGCACGAGCATTTCTGCCTGCTTTTTAGTCCTAGTGTATCGATCGTTCTCGCACTAGGAGAATACTCATGCGATGAAGAGTAGAACAATAATAATCCTACTCGAATACACTGATGTACTCATGCCTATCCAGCTTTGACATTTAGAAATATCACCATCGATCATTTATTCGTAGACTTCATCGTTATCAGAAATAAATCTTCAGGCTCTCGTTAAAAAAACTAGATTTTTTCGCGTTTTCAAAGAAATTTAACTTATCTCCTGATATAATAAAATTGTGAAGAATAATCGAATAATTGCCTTGAAGTGGTATCCACCAACACAAAAATATTTTCATTTCATTCTACTATGGAGAAAGGAGTTTGTTTTTCTTTTCATTCGTAAGCATGATTGATAAAACCGAGTAACGATAACATCAATATTTATCGAAACACAATCTTAACCAAGCGATGACAATGAATAAAATAAACGAAATAATAAATCAAACTATGTAATCGATTATCAGTCGCGTAGCTTTTTGTTTTGTTTGGAGTATTAAATGCATATATTTATTTATTATCAACGTTTATTTTCTCATCATCAAAAAGCAAAACATCAGAAGAAATGCTTATTGACGTCAAACTATCTACCAGACTAGACTTTCAATGGATACTTTTTTTGCCTATGATGACATGATGTTTCTTCTATTTACGATTGATCGGCTGTCATCAAACAACGATAAGCATATGGTGAGTATGCAGTGTAATCGAGCGAATAACGATGAACTTGAACGATAATCATCGGCGCATTCCAGTTATACACGTTATATACATGTCTCATCATTCACATAATTGAGCGCAAATATGATCATTCATCTCATCGCACTCATTTTTATCATAAATATATACTTTAATCACTGAGATCAAACGACAAAATCCTTTAAGAATAAAGAATTTCAAATAGAAATGGATATATAAAACATCCATCAATCAATCAATCAATCAAATTAATCTACTTAGTCAAACAAAAAAAATAGGAGAAGAAGAAGAAGAGACGAACAACTAAACAAAAGATGTTTTGTGCCCTTTTAATTGACTGGCAATGTAAACAATCTTTTTTTCCTATGTACTCATTCTTCTGTTTAGAGAGAAAACAATGCATTTCTGTCTATGGTTTAGTCTTTCGGAAGAAAATATAACTGTTATTCTTAATTGATTTGACAACAAGGCGTTGTCAATATAGCAGACCCAACAAAAAAATCACATTAGCCAATATTTGACACAAGACATTGTATATCTACATCATTTTTTGACATACTTATATATATATACATATTTATATAAATATATAGATATATTTATATATACATATATAAGTATATATGTTTTGTTTATTCCTCATCTCATGAATGAACTAAAGCACCATGAACATAAAAAAAGAAAAAAAAGAAAAACAAAACCCTTCTAAAAGAAGAGAAAGAGAAAAAAAACATACTGTTTACACAAAACGAAAAGAAAAAGAAAAAATGGCTAGTGTTTTTTTTTCTGGCATAGGGGAAAAAGGAAGACACAAGAAACTAGTTGCAAAGTAGTGGTACGCTACTATTACCATCTTGTTGTATTCGATGTAGTTCTTTAACGGCTACATCGACAAGAAGTTGAAAACCGGCAAGATCACCAGTAGTATTACTTGTTGTTGTTGTTGCTGGTGGTGGTGGTGGTGATGGCAGTGAATCATTTGAACGAACAGTACATGTTTGCTGTTGTTCACTTGATATTAAATTAATAACAGTAGGATCACGAATAGGTTTTAATAGAAGATGATGCCGTGTCATACAACAAGGTTCAATAGATGATGATTGTTTATTAAGAACATTAGAGTTATTTGTTAGTATTAATGATGGTGATGAACTACGTTCAACAAGAAGATTTATATCTGTTGCTGTTGTTGTGGTAGTAGTGGTCGACGATGATGATGACGATGACGATGATGATGATGTGGTTTCGTTTGATGTATTTTCTCCACTTGTCGAACAAATAGCAGATAATGATGGTGATGAACGTTTTTGATCACGGGAAAAACGTCTTGATATAGTAAATTTTTTTGGATCTGTTCCTTCTTTTTTTAATAAATCAGGTAATATACGTCGACGTGCATTGATAAACCAATTGCAAACTTGATTTATTGATAGATCAGCACGATGAGATAGGTTGGCTTTTTCGTCATCGGTTGGATAGGCATTATAACGATGTTCGTAAAGCCAATTTTTAAGTATACGAACCTAGAGAATAACAAAGAAGAAAATAAAATAACAGCTGGTTTCATATAACCATTTTTGTTTCGTCTTACGCTATCTTTAGGTAGATTGGCGCGTCGTTTTTTTAACTTCGATGAATTTGTTATCGATGATGATGATGAACTATCATGATCACAATCTGAATCTGTTTGTTCCATAGTACGATTTCGTTGTTTTTGTTGATGATTAGAATTAACCAAAAGGGTTGAACGATGTGGACTAACAATAACTTCGGATGAATGATGATAAATAGATGAAGGATAAAGGAGATCTTGATGATGATTGGTATAATTTATTGTCGATGACGGCGAAAGATTTGTCATTGTTTGATAATGTAAAGAATCGTGTGAATGATCAATCATTGAATATTCTAGAAATTGAAAATAAATTTCTTTTTCTCTTTTTTTTTCTCTTAAAATAATTTTCAAAGAACGATATCAATGATATTTCGAATGTGTAATGTACGATATAAGAAAATGTCTTTCTTATCTTACGCTATCTGAGAATGCATGCTGCGTATGTGTCGTCCTTTTTTTTTATGCTATGCGTGTTTTTTTTTAAAGTCATAGCCGGGAATCAAATACAGATGGCTTAAGTCAGGACTAACAACGTTTCATAATTACCATATGATGGTTTTATAATCGAGAAGACGAAGAAAAAGCAATATTTTCTTGACGCTTATTTATTCTCACACTATATCAAAAAAAGTCAACTGATAGAAAGACTAAAGTGAAAAAATGAAGATAAATTAAGGTGGTCTTATCAAGTTTGTGTTGAAAGACAGATGTCATCTCATACGAACTTATTCCAATGCACATCTTTCTGATAGTTATAACGATAATAGGAAAGAAGAGAATACAAAAACTTACTCGATTGTCATTAACCTATCCTTCGCTCGACTACTTTATTGTTATTGTTCACACACGCGCACATACACAGGCACATGCATTCTCTTCTTCATATAATCGAAACAAGATAAGACATACGACGTCGCCTCACCTTATTCAACACACGAAATGATTAATTTGATGGGTATGATATCGATCGAATGAGAAAACGAATCGACGAAAATCATTGCCTCTTTCGTTGTGCACTCATTGATCATATATAAATCAACATATTAATACAAATTACAGAGAAGAAACGAATCGAAAGATTATACTCAATTCCAATTTTAGATTAAAGTCTTAAGCACTGCTTTCGACGTCTTTTCTTCTATTATAAATAAATATATATTTCCCTTCTTACTCTTAAAAGGAAAAGAATAGGAATCTATCAACGCTAATTAAGTCTGTGGATTCATACCAACACCTCAACAGCTGTTTACAGATATCAATCATCATAAAACAAAAAGAAAGAAAGAAGGAACTACTTGTTTCAATATCCATTTAGCGAGAAGGCAACAAAAAAGAAAAGCACTAACACAAGGTTTGACTAATGTGTTTCTTTCCTCTGAAAATGATCGATACACAAATAAAATAGGATAACCTGATTTGAAAAGAATTTCCTTATCACAGTTGGAAGCAAACTTTTTCTAATTTTTTGCACAGCTGCAAAAATAGTCAATGTGTCAAGAAGATTTTTAAATTTCCTACTGAGATCAAAAGAACATGCTATATAGTCAAAGGACAAATCTAATTTTTCATTTAATAATAGGCCTGAGTTGCACAAAAAAAACACACACACACAACAACTTACGTTTTGTTTCTGCCTTTTGTCAAATCCGTTATCTACCACTGCGTATCTCCCTTCTTTCTTTCTTTTTTTTTTGTTGAGTGCATATGCTTTCTCTCTTTTGACGTTTTATGATTCTTCATTTTTCTTTCTTCTCTTCGATGTACAGCGGCGTGAATTGCATTATGACTACCTTCTTTCATTTATGAGTTGAAAGTAAAAAAAATGGAATTTGTCACATCTCTGCATCGATCTAATTGAATCAATAAGAAGAAAGAGTTCGTTGTTTTTAAATGCTCGAAGGAAATTACCAAGAGTAAACAGCAACACACTTCAAATTCGATCTGTCCATGTGCGTGCGTGTATGAATACTAAGTAAGGTTTCTGACACACACACACATATATACATTCGTTCATATAGAGACTCGCTACTCATTTGATCAGAGTGTGAAGAAGCGAAGACCGACAACAAAAGAATGTAAGTGTGTAATGGAATGTGACGAAGTAATACGAATATATTCACACACGACATCCTATATTCAGATTTACGCATAGACATAGATAATACATGTCAAAACTGTCAAGTATTGCATATATATGTATATAATATATATATATATATATATATACAATATGATTACATGGACAACAATAGGACAAATGATATATACACAACAAACGCAAATAAATGAACGAACAAGTGGAAAGAGAGAGAGAGAGAGAGAGAGAGAGCGCACTCTGCTTTTTTTATTCTTCGCTACTTGAGAAGAAATTGTTCGTAAATTGTTGCATCTTTTGTCAACTCGAAATAAAGCTAACAAACATTTTTTCCAAATCATTTTTCTATCTCATTTATCATACATATCAATAGAATCACCACCCCCTTCCGTTCTTTCTATATAGTAAATGATTCATACGCGTGCGTTAAAAACAATTATAATGAGAATATCGATATAACTGCTTGTACATATAGCTATTTCCTATGTATCTTTCCCGAAGGACTATTCAACGTCCCAAATGTCAACTGATTGTCATTTGATAGAATTAGAATATAAAGACTATCCACTCATTATGTGACTAATGAAAAGAAAAATAAACCTATGCGAGCATCACGAGAGTAAATACATATGTATCCTAAGGGTATGTTCAACTGTTTGTCTCACATACGAAAAAGAAAAAGAATGAAACGTCAATACAGAGAGAGCCCGAGGTGAAATACCATTTAACTGCAATTATAGTAATATGTAATATATATATATATATATATATATTTTTTTTCGCTACCTGTAAATATATATATATATATATATATATGATCACGTATAAATTATGCAAAGTATTTAAGGTAGTTGGTATATAATTTCAAGAGACTATTACTCTCGTTAAGCTAACGGCCTGTCATCATTCCCACATTTCTTATGTTCTTCCTACGTAACAGAACTTCGCGTTTTCTTCTGTCTGTTTTGCCTACATATAAACGTCACTATAATTGATTTGGGCCAATGTTAATTCGCTTTTTATGAATAGCAATTAGGAATAATAGACGAAGAAGAAGAAGACGAGCAAAAAAAGAAGACAGAATGAATGTATTCAACCAGTTGAGTGAAACGAGAAGGCGCCATCATCATCGTCGTAGTAGTTACAACTAATCGTCGATCATTACTTCAGTGAATCTCGAACAACGACAAGATCATTGTATAAACAGCTGCTTTCCTGCTTCTATTGTAACATACATATGGATGTATATACGCATATGATGAACAAAGTAGTTGCTCAATATTGTCTGCGAAAGCTAACCAGTTACCATCATTCGATTGACGCAAAAACTCGTGCCGTCGTACAGTAGCTACTTTTTATTCGTTGACGATATTCTTATTCTCTTTCTTTTAGGGCTTTTTTCCTCTTCTGTCAACAGGCTCCTTCTCTTTTTCTAATGTTTGCTCTTTGATTATATGACGGTAAGTTAAAGACAAGACGAAAAAAGAAAAGAAATTCTGAAAACGTCAAAAACATGCAAAGATAGTGAAGAGAACAGTTGACATTTTTTTGAAAGTTGTATAAATACACGCGCAGAAAAAACAAACGCTGGCTGGTCAATAACGTAACATTACTTAATAGGATTTGTAAGAGAACTGACAAATACAATTTAATATGTTTATCATAACAAAAACCATCCGATATTTATATCTTTGTTGATCATATTAATTGAATACAATCAAGACAAAACTTAAGTAATTATTCTTATTGATATAATAATAAATATGTCAAGCATATATTTTAAATTAAAGCGAAATGATACAAAAAAAAAGGGATTTTTTTAAATAGAAATCTTATTCACCTAATTTTATTTATTCTTTATATATATATATATATATATATATGCTACTTACTTGTTACTTCTTTCTCATAATGCTCATCAATATGTATCCTCACGGATGTGATCTTTTACTCGCTAGCACCAGTGATTGGATTGACATCAAACAAGAAGAGAGAGAGAGAGAGAAAGAAAAGGGGCGAGCAAAGAAGAGAGCATTTTTTTATCATCGATGTAATCTACAGAGAAAGACAAGAACAATACAAATCTATAATTCAGTGATGAATATCTTCATTACATGGTTGCCTTTTTTTTTTGTTGCCTCTCAATTATTTTTTCTTCTTGCCTCCTACAAGCACACAGACACAATGACAATATCAGCATCACTGTGCACAACCTTAACCTACCATTATCAATGCTTCGAGCCGTAAGAAGCAAATCGGAAAAACATGTATCTTTCGGGCAGCGTCATCAGTTAAAATAACAACATACAAAGAATAAAAAGATATGTCAAATAGACAAGACGACGGACTGTCAAAGATGTGTGTATGTCAATATAAGGAATATGATTGATAATTGCACAAATCGAAATCTCAGAAACAAGATTTGACATAAATGTGACAGCACGCATCGAGTGTCAGATAGATAGGCAGAAACACGTTTTCTGTTTTTGTATGTTTTTTTTGGTTTCAACAACAATTACATGCCTTAGACCAAATGGTATTGTCTCATTATCGGTAGCGGCTGCCATTGCTATTCTTACTTTGACAGCAGTCAGAATCCCACAGGGTAAAAACGCGTAGAAAGAATTTCTCTATTGCTAAGTGATGGCTAACGTCACCATCATCAAAAAGAAGAAGAAAAAGAATGTGTAGTAAAACAATGGGGCTACTCTATACAGCTGTTTATATGTACACCCGTTCAAATACTTTGCCTGCTGATTATATCCTATAACTGAAATGACGATCTTGTTGTTGTTTATTGTTGTTACAACATACTCTTGTATGTAAAAACTGACTGACGACAATAGGCGATGTTTCAAGATCGTCCAATAAATGTGTACGTATATGTTTTAGTTCTCAGCATGCGTAAATATCATGACCTATCTCATATATGGTCATTAGAAGCCTCCTCCGTTGGTTTGATTCTTCTTTCTCTTCTACTTCCGAACTATCAATTTCTCGATATCGGCATGTAGTAGTCAATATAACTGTCAATTTAAGAGAAGAAACTCAACTTACTTAAAGTTTTGATCTTGTCGTCTTTATTATTTACTTGTCTGTTGCAGGTCGATTGAGTAAAAATGTAAGTCTTATTAATAGTTGCCCATTTGAACATGCTAATAGTAAGTGCTTATCTTTTTGACATGCGCATGTGCATACGAAGGATAGACAACAGAGCGAAAATGAAATAGTGAAGTATGTGCCACAACGCACGTCGACTAAAATCAAATGTATGCACGGGCGAACTGGCAATTATAAAAAAATACCACACCGAGAGAGAGAGAGAGAGAGAGAGAGAGATAGTGAATGATAGCGCGATGTGAGAGATAGTGGTGACGTGGTCTATATATAAAAGAAAAAGTAAAATGAAAGAAAACGAAGACATGGAAAGAACGTATGTAACGGAGAGAGAGAGAGAAAGAAATGGAAAAAAGAAGGAAAATAACGGATATTATTACATAGTATACAAGCAAAGATGACACAAGACCACGCACGAGTTCTATCGATTTATAGACGAAAGAAGTGATCGTTGGAGAGACAACTGTTCATTGACATCGGTTTTATTATACATAGCGATAGATATATCCAGGTCGTCAAGGGCATTTATACATATGTTTAAGTGTGAAGAATTTCTTTGTCGAAAAAACATTTAAGAAATATTTTACTCGATTAGCTCGTTAGACATAAGCACCATTTACATGTATCGATTAGATAGAAAATTTTTCTCATACCATGTCAAGAGAACAACCATTTGAGTTTGTTTTTACAACCGATGAAATTTTTAAGTGTGAAGAATGGGAATATATGTATATATGGATAATTGAAATTTTTTTCAAGAAAGTAACTACGCTAAAAAAAGGAGATCTGCAAAATCAAATTCAAACAAAAAATAGTCGTGTCACGTAAATAATATTTCAACGTTTATGTTCGAATAGAAAATGTCTGATGAATTCGAATCTCGATGAAATAGAAACAAGATTTATTTATTGAGAACAAAAGTATTTTTTTTTTTAATATAATACGAATTCTATTCTATCGAGATTAAATTGAAAGTAGTTGTCTTTCGTGGTGATGGTGAACCATGTGGAATTGAAATAGTTGTTGAATCTGAAGGAAAAAGCACGTTGTTTTTCTTATAGTGATTCGAAAAAAATTACTTGGAACATGAAGTGATGTTGAAACTTCTCTTCTGTGTATTGGTGGAAGCCTTACTAAAATAAAATGCATATATTAAATTCCGTTAGATATCACACGAAACGGATTATTTTGTCACTTTGATGATGAATACTATCGTTCGAGTGACTTACTTGGCTGTACGTATAGAAGATTTTTTTCGATGCAATCATTTTTTGACTCTAGCTCTTCAAGTAGCCAATAAGTTGTCTATAAGAAAAAGACCTACGTTTTCGAAATCTTGAATGCGGAAAATATTTAGCTACGAACCATTTCACCTTTTCCCTATGAATAAGAATGAGGATTCGAAAATAGAAAATAAAGGAATTTTAAAAGAATTATTTTACTTTGATATGCATTGTTCCTCGTTTTTCAATAAGAAAACGACCAGTTTTATCTAGCAATTCCTTTGTATCATTTGTCATATGAATTTTATTGGCTGAAAAAAATGATCAAAAGTTTTTTTTCGAATTTTAAAATTAATTCAAAAAAATTTACCTTCACCATTCGATTCCATTCTCGATCTAAATTTATCTTTTTTCTTGTATTTTATAAATAACAAAAACCGAAAAGAAAATGGCTTACGCAGTATTTACAGTGTCACCAAAAAGACAATATCTATAGTCAACTAGAATAAATATTTAATTTATAATTTTCATCGTTCTTACCGAGGCATTTTTGAACCAACAACACCAGTACAAACAGGTCCTAAATAAATCATAATGTTTTGTAGAGATGATTCTTATTCAGTGACAAAACTTTATGATTTAAAAGACTGTCTATTGATGTTTTAGAATCAATGAAAGACTCATTTTACACACATTACAAATGTAATGGGAAGTAGACGATAGGACGCCTGAACGATTCTATATGTCGCATTTAAGAATCGTAAATCTATAGTATACGAATGAATGTCAATATTTGCTTCAATTTATTATAGAAAACAAAAATTCCTTATCGAATTCTACAAATAGGCAACTCTATATCCTATTTACCGGAATGTAAACCAACGCGAATTCGAAGTTTTTCATTATTTGAAAATGGTATAAGAATATTTTTTGTTGATTGACGAACAAGTTCAAGTGCCATGGTCGCTATTTGATATGCATGTTCATTACCATTTCTTTTCGGCACGCCGGAAACCACCATATCTAAAAATTCTCATGTAAAAACATAAATCTACATTAGAATAACTTACACGCATCTCCAATTGTTTCAACTTTATAAACATCATAACGGTCAACAACTGTATCAAATGTTGTATAAACCCGGTTGAGAAATTCAACAACATCAATAGGTTTACATCGACTTGAAATAGTTGTAAATCCAACGATATCACTAAGGACAGATGAAAAAGTTCAAGATCAAATTTTCGTAGACAATCACCAAGACAGTACCTGAAATATATCGTACAATTTTCATAATATTCTGCTGAAACCATTTGGCCAACTCTTAATTGTTCAGCAACACTTTTCGGTAACATACCTGCAATATAGTACATATCAATAGATCGAGCAAGAAAAAGACAACCGGAAAGGAACACAGGAAAAAGCCTCGCATTCGTGACGATTTTTCACTAATAATATATCATAATCGTTCTCAGAAAATTTACCTGCGAATTATAATTTCACGCAAATAATGTTCTCGACGGAACTTATCACTTTCATTAAAATTAATTGAAGTATTAGTAGCAATTAAGTGTAGGTGCATAGAACCAATTACAACTCAAAATCTAATTTATTTTGTCTATATGAACGAATCACGTGATTCTGTAGGCAGATGGAAGAAGCAGTCATGAAGTGGAATTGCAACATGCATTTTTGTCTCTCATACTTACTGTATAGAAGATTTTCCGATTTATGTTTTTCTTGTTCAAGTTCATGTGTGCGTAATTGTACAGCTTGTTCAAGACTTGTTTGATAAAGAGACATCTTTTTAAATATTAAATCAATTGGACTCATTTGAAATGGGCACATTTTCTTCAAGTGTTTTTCTATATCTTTGCATGTTGGACGATCATACGGATTTTCTATAATACATCGTTTAACAAGTCGAATATACGATGATGGTAACGGACAAAAATCGTCTTCATTTTCATTATTAACATCAAAAGTCATCTGAGCAAGTTTCGGACGATAACCAATTTTCATAATCGATTCAATATCATCGTCCTAAAACAAATCAATATTTTTCCTTTTTGACATAAGTCAAAATGAATAGTAACCCCAAACGGTTCCGCTCGTGTTGCTATTTCATTTAGAATAATGCCAAATGCATAAATATCTATTGGAGGAGTTAATTTCAATTCATTAATTGATATTAGTTCAGGTGCGTAATAAGCTCTTTTATAGGCTTCGATTGATTGAACATATGAGTTAACACTAATATTATGAAAACGAAGATCGTCAAGACCATAATCTAAAATAGAAACACGTTCGGCACCGATTGAAATTAACACAATGCTTTCTTCTATGTAAAACTATCATGTAAGGCGTTCGAAAATGAGATCTGGTGAGAAATATGTATTTTGTTCCTTAATCGTCGCTCTCAGTTATTTGGTCTAAGATTTATCCATAGGATCAAAAGCTGTTACCTGTGATTTTTATGGTTAACCGTTGATCAACAACACAATTCGATGAATTGAGTCGTCCATGAATAAGATGTCGACTATGAATATACGATAGACCATTAAGAATATCTATTGCAAATGAAAACCTGTGACGAAGCAATTTTTATTCCTTTAACATTCAATATTTTTATTTACCGAAATGGCCACGTTATAGGTATTTTATCATTTTGTAAAACATCACGTAACGAACCTTTTGGCATATATTCCATATAGATAATAACTTCATTAGGAAATAATGAAGCACCCATAAATTTGCAAACATTATTATGATTAAATGTTCGTACAAGCCGAACTTGTTCACGTACACGACGTGTCAATTGAAAATGTTTATGTTTATATTTTCGAATAGCTACGCAAGTATGTCGTCTAAAAACACAGAAATTCGTTATTTTAATGTGTCTTTCAATCAAAAAAAGCCAAACTTACAAATAACCGGCAGGACAAAAAATTTGTTGTGCAATACTAATCGTTGAAAAAGTTGTGGTAACACTTAAGTTAGTTTCACTTGGTTGTCTACTAATACTTGTCTTTTTCGGATCGTTTAAGGATGTTAAACTAATTGATTGTTGTGGCCGAAGTGCTGGAATAAAAGAAAACGATAGTCGAATTTAACATTATTCGACTCATTCGTTTCTACTGTTAGTGATTTCTGCAGAGAACTTTTTAAACTATAAAAAATGGTTTATGAACGATCGAACTCTACTTAAGAAGGATCTCCGAAATGATTTCAAATAGACAAGAAGAGAGAAAAAAATTCAATTTATAATGATCTTCCTTATAAATTTCATCTTTGATCATATCCGTTATGGCTTCTATTTCTACTCTGAACATTATCAACTAGTATATTATGTCTTACGTTGAACTTCTTTAATATCAATAATCCAACTCGGATCCCATAACAGGCGTTGTTCTTGAATTTTAAAGTACTAAATAGCATATCAATGAAGTGTACAATAATGATTCATTTTTTTCTGGCTTACTAGAAAAACTCCGATGAATAAACCGACTAGAAGAGCGCAGCCCGTTGTTATAAAACCAATATGAACAGGCTTTAGAGGACATTTACCACAATCGATTGGACAATTAGAACAGTTCTCATAATTTAAATCACAATATTTATCGCCACAAACTGAAGCAAAAACAATATTCATGTCATTATATTTATTCAAAACAGAAGCACAAAAACGACATACTTGCTTTGCGACTAACTTGTATATTCGTGCTGACTAAAGCAATATGAATCCAATCTTCAATGCCAATTTTAAAATGTGCTATGATTTCTATGACTCCAAACACAGGTATAATCACCGTACTTTCATAAACTACAAATAAATGATTAGATTGTTTTGAATCGAACTAAAGTTTAATGCAATTTTCTCTCATTTACTAATCATGAAAATTGGTGTCGCGGAAATCAATCTTAAAAACAAGAAATTTTATGGTGTACTCAAAAAGAGAATACACTCTAGATTCAGGCAGTGTGTCCGGCCACCCGTTAACATGATAACTCTTGAAAGCCTCATCCAATTGTCATGAAATTTTGTACACAGAATGATCTCATCAATATCTCAGTCGAGTTCGAAGATGAGAAGGATCCGCCAAGAAATGGCTGAGTTATCGGAAAAATTGTCGTTATTGACCAGACCATCCCTAAGGCGGGGGGGGGGACAGAGATTTTTTCTCAGAATTATTCAAAACATGTATAAATCGACTCAGCTTTTGCAGTACACATAACAATCGGATACGAATCCGATGTTTCCGCATTTATCTAAAGCTATGATTGATATGCTAAGAACCAGAGAGAATCTTATTAACATTGAATTCAACGCATGTGCGCCACTTGCCGTTAACTGTTTCGATAGGTATCTTCATTGATAGTAAATGAGATAAAATTCTGCATATACATTTCATTCCATTCATGCTAAAAAACTTACTCCGAGATGCAGGTCCTGCCATAACTAGACTATGATATATTTCACCACTTGGCGGAATCCTTCCATAGAATAAAGCATATATAGATAATTTAAGATTTTTCATTAAAACAAAAAAAGAAACGAAAAATTACCAAGGACCGCAATATGGTACCGAACGTCCAAGGGCACATGCATGTACATTAATGTGCCATATACAAGTATCAGATTCAATTCTCGGATCTGTGGCGTCAACAGTTGGCTCATGATTATAACACCATTCGTGCCATGCGTGACTACTATTCATCGTTCGATTTGATAGTCTAATCAGGGCGAAAGAAAAAAATTTTTAATCTATAAAAAAAGTGACCAATACAGACGAATATAATGGCTTAGGTAGTATATAAATTGCCCAATCGAAAAATTCAGCTGATAAATCAATTGAATATGTTACATTGAATGGAACGTCTTGAGTGACTATAGTATAGTAATTACAATAGAATGAAACATTATTAAATTTTATTTGAAGAAAAAAAAATAACCTTGTTTTGGTGGAGGTTGAATCCAATTTACATCAATACCTAAAATATTTCTATTAATTCTTATGAGATTTATAAACATCCTAGTTTTTACCTTTACAATTATATCCATGTTGCGCCAGTGTTTCTGTTAGTGTTGACGAAGCATTAGATGGCCAACAATGAAATCGGCTATTATCCATATTATGCCATGCCAAACAAATTACAAAAAAACATTGAATAAAAATCTATTAAGACGAATTATTATATGAAAACATAGAAAAACGATATGCGTGAACATTCTCTATTACCAGAATCAGCATTTTTGTTTGAATGAATAACTATACTAATGTGAACGGAATATCATACGAATCATAATCCGATTGTTTCTATGTGAACGAAAGAGATAAGCACGATGTGTGTGTGTGTGATGTTTATCTATCGTTCTAGACAAAACGTCATAATTGCTCATTAGAAAAACAATATTTTTTGTTCTTTGTTGCATATCGATAAAATTCATTAAAAAAGCCGAATTTTGCTTTTATATTTCATATAATCATTCTTCGAATTTTCCTCGTAGTTGAATGTTTGTACTTATATGACGAATTTCACACTTTCGCCTATCCAACAGATATCATACATTAGAAAATTAAATCAGTTTCGTTGTCTTATCGTGACCTATTCTACTGATCAATTGGCTGCATGAGTTTTGTTCGATTCTACAAAAACTCACAAATTGCTCGCATGTGCCAATCAATAAATCCCTGTTAGAAAGCTAATCGGAATCTAACAGCAGGAGTCCGGTGATTAGGTTCGCACACTAGGTCTTCAGAATGAATCTGTTTCTCATTGGTATTCATATTTCGAACGAAGATCTTCTAAACTAATGTTTTCTTTCTTTTAGCATCGATAGAAATTGTTATCATCCGATTGTTTTATTTTTTTTTATTTTGCAAAATATATGTCAAAACATAAACAAATTTTCACAATTATCAAAAACACAAAACAAAATTTCATATCCTAGAATACCGAAAGACAATGTATGGTATTAAACGAGCAGGAAGAAAAACTAAATAGTCACTCTCGGCGTTGTAATAAGAAAAACGACAAGAACTTTCAATATTTGGCACATAGCTAGATGGAAAAACGAGCACCCGGTTTTCAAGAAAATAAAAGAATCAGATCTATTTCTAGATATGATATTCAGTCAATTAAAGTAAATGACAATATTATGTGTTTTTAATACACCAGCAAGGAGACACGTATAAAAAAATATCGACGTTATCTTAACAAAGAATATTTGGGAGAAAAACAAAATTACAGGAGAAACAAGACTGTTTGTTTGTTTCCTTTTTTTTTACATAACTAGATAGAAAAGAGGTATTTAACTAATTATAATTCTGCTTCATTGACTGCATTGGCTTCGAGATCAACATTTTCGACGAGGACTTTTTTTCTTTGAAAAGTGGTTACTACAACTGGTGTAGGCGGCGGTGGAACGATCGAATTGGATTGAAGGAATGCAATAACAAGTTCATATGTAGCCATCATAATAGCTGTATTCTACAAGTCAAAATTTGATTAAACAGAAAAGCTAACAAGTTGTTTTTGCTTACTGGAATCTGTCGAATAAGATGAGTGAGTAAACCACGATACAAACCAGCGATGGTTTCTTCATAATAAACTTTTTTTAATGTTTGCATAAATGTTCGATATTTTGTACCTTCTTCTCGTAAACGTGTTCGAACGACTTCATGAGGATAACATAGCGTTGTTGCAAATGATTTTGAACATGCTGCAGCAATTAAATACGATGAAAAATTGTAGAGACCGGTATCGTCTAACGGGCGATTCTGACTTGTTTGCAATAGCTGTAATTGTGCTTTTATTTGTTCATAGATTACAAAGTGAACTATGGTCTCTGATACGCCAACATACGATGCCGATATGCCTGAAATTTTGTTGTTTTTCAATTCGCTAATTTGATTCGCTATCTTACCTTTATAAAATGCTGAAATACCATGTTCATGATAGATATTTCGAATGAGATCAATCGCACGGATGTTTCTAAAAGATAAATCGAAGTTTTTCTGATTGAATTCAAAACTAGACACTTAATTATTCTTTCACAGTTCGCAAAAAATACAGACATTTGTTCCGGTCGGTATGATAAAAAGAAATAAATCATAGAATGTAGAAATTCAAGTGTTCGAATCAAAGATTTTGTACTATTTACTGTCTATTCGAAGAATTGCATGAAAAAAAAGAAAATTTTCTTTAATCAAGAGAAGCAGATAGATCGTATTCCATATGCTAACTCCACAGGCATTGTACTAGCTTCTTTTCACGAGTCCCTGCAGTCTTTTTCTTGGAAGCATTCAAGAAGGTCAAAACACATGTATTCTATTTCCCGCTGATCTGAACATAATTGCAGTTTTTTTTTCGAATTGCGAATCATAGAACTTCTATGTCTGAATGTTATTCTTACCCTTGATCAATTTGAAGTCGAGTTTTAATAAACCACAATGGATTCGTACAAGTAGACATAGCAATACCTTGAATATCAGTTCTTGTAATTATATAATTTTAGTGAAGAAACTACCTGCAACAGCTGCTGACGTTACATGTACTAAAGGTGTTTCACGTTCCAGTTCACTAACTAGAAATGATTTCGTATTTGCATAAGCATAGAAATAAATCGCTCTAAAAATGTTAATTTCAAAATAAACCATAAGAAAAGTCTTATTTCTACTATTTTACTCATACCTTGATGGTGCAACACCAATTAGATTCGGTATAAGACCTTTAAAAAGGCCCCGAAAGCCTTCATATTTCACAATATGACTAAAGTAGAAGTACAGTAGAAAAACGAACTGATTACTCTCAATTGAAAAAGAACTTTTTTGTTAAATGAATACCGAAGTGAATTTATGATGCTTGGACTTCTAGCGCCCGATAGTGTACAATGATTGGTAGTATTACTCGTCGATGAATTCAAATTCAGATGATTTCTCCCCTGAGAAAATGCATTTTTCGATGATTGATATCGTGTTTTGATTACTTCTAAGGGACATGTTAATATAGCACCGAATGTACCAGCAATCCTACAATTAAAAGAAACAAAACAATTAGAAATTTGCATCTTTATTTCATTTTGTTCGAACCCTCCAGCAAATAAATGTACATAAGACGATCGATTTATATTCGTTTGTTGTAGTTGTTGTTGTCCATCATTACTTTTAATGGTATTCGTAGACATGAGAAATCATAGAAAACAGTTGAACATATCTAAAATATACTGTTTGTTTTTTTCCATGAATAAATAAAATTAACAGAATAACAAACTCGACTAGTTTCTTTTATACGAGAAGCAAATAGGTAGAATAAAGAGATTTTTCATTAACTAAACAGACATCTAGGGTTACATGGTTTCTTTCATTTATTTTTTCAAAAAAGAAATTGTTGTTCTTTGCGTACAGTATTGGTAATAACAATTGAAAGTATATAAAGAAAGCCAAGTAAAAAATTTAATAGTGCTGTTCGATTGGGTAATTTTATCAGCTCATCATTCTTAAATTCTTCACATAATCGATAAGCATAGAATATTGTTAATAATGGTAGAAAACAATACCAAGATATATTTATCATAATATAAAGTATTATAATATAAGGCGAATACATAAGTAGACAATAGAGATAATACGAATATCGTTTACCAAGTAAGATTGATAATGTCAATATACCAACTGATAAGTCATGCTTCATATCTCGTGTATTATTACTATGCAGAATAGCTTCGGTGTTTAATGTTAATGGTAAAGCGTAAAGTATTGGATAAATACTATAGTGACCTGCTTGTGCCATATATGAAAAAACAACTGTTATAGGACCAAATGTTAGTAAAATAATAATATCACCAAGAGCAATATATTTAAAGCCTGAATGAATAAATCATAAAATGATGTAAATTAATTATGGAAAACGACATAAATATCTTTCATGATCTCGAACTAATTATATAAATTAAAGAAACATGTGGGGGGGGGGGGGGGGGGGGGGGGGGGGGGGGGGGGGGGGGGGGGGGGGGGGGGGGGGGGGGGGGGGGGGGGGGGGGGGGGGGGGGGGGGGGGGGGGGGGGG